ATTCTGAAAACCAGCAATCCTTAACCCAGGGCCACAGTCAGGAGCTTTACAAATGACTTTTCATTTCTTCATAAATTATCCTCTTCCAAGATTAGGAAAACACAAGTAAATCGCTGAATCCACTTTGCTGATTTGCCACGTTTTCCTGAACAACAAACAAGAACATTTCTCTCACCTGGGGGCTGAAATTTCATCAGCCATGTTGATTACCTTTATCCATGAATTAGAAACCTGAACTTAGTCTGGTAGGTTAAAAAGTACATCCACGTTCATGCCCGTATCTTTAAGACATGTTTAGGTTACAATATTCCCAATCAATATTGTGTGGCAGGTTTTTTGGCTCACACAGTTAGGCAATTCAAACCAGCTCATAATTAATCTTAACAAACAAGCCATATGAAGAGTGTATAGATGGTGTTTGCATGCGTGTAACTTGGGTACGTAGCTAAGTAGCTTACCCCACAGTCACATTATGGGTCAGTAGCACTACCAAGCACAGAGCTCAGATTGTTCATATTCAAGTTCACACTGGACATTGCTCCCACAGATACTTCTAGAATGACTGGTTGTTTATCTTAATGAAATCAAGTAAAATATTTCCTAAAAAAAAATTATTAATGTTTCACATTCTTAGTTCTAGTGCTTGATTTACCAGCGTCACACATGCATGAGTTACACAAACATAGATGGGGACAGAAAAGCTTACTTCTTTTTGTATTGTCAAGGCAGTTTGATTTGTTTCTTCTCCAAGGAACCTGGGAGAGTCTGTAAGAAGGAAAAGTGCTGGAAAATAAGAATATAACCTTATGTACAGAAGGAAAAAAAAAAGCAAACAATAATGTTGGCCCTTCAGTCAGAGTTACTCCTTCTTGAGTTTGCACTGGATGAGTGCTGCAATACAATTTTAATTGTCACATTACTGCAGGATTTTCTGATTTGGAGTAGGTGTAATGCATCCATCATGACTACCATGCTCACTGAAAGAAACCACCACAGGACCACCCTCCAGGGTGTCCAGGAAAATTCCAGAAAACCCATGGACCGTGCTGGAATCCACAGTACCTCCCTACAGTTCTAGGTACTTCAGGTAGAAGGTGTTCAGGTAGCGATGGCTTAAGATAAGTAGATCCAGATAAGCTGATATGCTTGGGTTGAACATGGCTGGATCTCTGGTAGCCAATTCCTCATTGGTTTTTTTGTTGTTGTTTTGGGTTTTTTTTAGTTCAGGCTTTTACTATTATAATAACAGGGTTGCAGGCGTGGATTTAGTTGGGTTTTTTTTATTATTTAACTGGACACAGGAACTGTCACTTTCCTTTCTAAATCGTCAGCTACTCACCACTATTGGACAGCTTCCTAAGTCATTCCAGAAGTCAGTGTATTGATATTACTCCATAAAAATGAGTAAATCACCCTAAGACTCTGCAAAAGGAAAGACATAAACAAAGTAGTATGAGAGTGTATCACTGTAACCATTTCCACAATGTGCCAGTGGCCAATTGCTACAAAAAATATGTAACTTGGTTTGTGATTACCTGCTGTTGCAGGGGGACAATCCCAAAGGGATCAGGATCCAATGACAGAGCCCTTAGCTTCACCACAAGAAATAAAAATTATCTCAGTTATCCAGCAAGGCAGAACTAGTAATTTTAACTGTAATGAAGCACAAGAATGCTAGTACCAGATCAAGGAAGGCCCCCTGAACTCACATTTTGTAAAGAGAGAAATTCCCCCAGAGAATTTACAGCGTACGTGCTGGAGCAGAGACCAAACGAGAGATGCCACAGTGGAAGAGCTGAAGCAGGTAGTGGGCAACACAGCCACCGCGGCCTCAGGCAGCCTGCAGCCCCGTCTGCTCCATACAGCTTAAAGGCCCGCAGGGGTTAATACGGTTAACTTCTAGCTCCTCCACGGAGACCAAACTACGGAAGTGAACGTCTGCTTGTGGATATTTTAAACAAAAAAGAAAACATATGGCCCTCTGGAACTATGCTTGCTGTTTCTCCAGCTGATGTGACACAGAGAACAGATAGCCTAGGCCTAGAACTAAATGCAAAAGCTTTATTCCAAGGAGCAATTAGAGAACAATTTAGGGAACACGCTTCAATTTTAAAAGTTCTCAAATTAGCAAAGCGGAAACACAAAAAAGTTGAGCATGCCTGTGTATGCTAACTAGTAAAAAATTTAAAAAGCACAAAATATCTTAGCTGTATAAAACAGCAGTTTCTTACCTGTGTGAGGAATATTTCTGCGAACTACGAAAGACAGCTTAGAATGAATAATTAAAACTAGCCTTTTCTCTCCCAGATGTTATTTTGTGATTCTACACAGACTAGTAATGAGCAAAAATTAAAACAGAAGAATGGGCTTAATTCAGAAGGCTGAAAAGAAAGATCAGTCATTTCATTTATAAAATCAGAAATGTCATTTAAAAATATAATCATGTGGATTAAAACCACAGGTGTGATAAATAAATAGTGGAGGGCAGCCAAGATGCGCATCTTTTAAATCCAAGTCTTGAAACGCGCTGGTAAACGTTTCACAGTACAAATTGCTTAGGTAGTCAGGGCCCAAATGCAGAGCCAGTGTGCGCAGACACAATCCCACCGCCTGCAGAAACCCAGCAGGAGCACTCGTGGCTCGCAGGGCACTGGAGTTGTGCACCCCCCAGGGACAGCAAGGCCAGGAGGGGTCTTAAGCTGTCATCTGGTTCAACCTCTGCCAGAGGATGAACTGTGCCTTAAACATCGCCAATGTTTAAAGTCATCTTTGTTTAACTTTAAAACTTGTGTAAATGATTTTATAATGCTCTCAGGAAATGTATTGCAGGGCTTTGCACAGTTACCATCAGGATTATTTTCTCCTAATGCCTAATCTAAAGATAGGCAATAACTTCTTGTCCTATGAACAGGGGATTTGGAGAACAAGGTTTTGGGGTTTTTTTTTACCGTCTTCTCTGCAATGGCTTTTTACAAATGTGAATACTCCTTTAGTCATTGCTCCTGCAGACTAAACAAACCAAATCCTTTCAATTTTTACACACAAAATGATGTTGTCTAGCACTCTCATCTTTCTTGTCTCTCTCCACTGGACTCTTTCCAATTAGCCCCCAACCTCCTTGAAGTGTGGTGCCTGAAACTGGATATAGTATTCCAGCTCAGACCTCATTAGACCTTATTAGGCCTAATGAGAGTAAAAGGTTATTTCATGTGAATTTAATGGGGAATGCTTATTTATTCAGTCTAGTACGAAATTTGCTTTTTCACAAAAAGATGACATTATTGACCTGTGATTAGCTTGCCACTCACTGAAATCTGCACGTCCTTTTCCACAGAATTACCACAACTAGCCAGGTCTCCTCCATCCTCTATCTGTTACTTACTTCAATTCAATACTTTCTATTTGCTCTTAATGAAGTGGATCTTACTTATGTCACCTAATTTCAGCAATTAATTTAAATAACTTCTTGTTCTAATCTATTCCTCTGATACGCTTTCAGCCTTTATTGGCAATAATTGCTTATAAATGAAGTATCTATTGCATAATCCAATCTATTTTATAAAGTGTATCGATTAGCATAAAATTGATCTAAGTAAAGGCCTCCTTATTACATCCTCCTAGGCAACAGTGAGAGTACAACCCTAAGTACAAATCACTCTTGTAGATCCATTTAAACTGTGCTTCCTGCAACTGGCTATGAAAATGTCAAAAGCAGGCTTTACCAAAAGCCCCTTACCAAAATCAAGACGCGTCACCTTTGCAGCTTCTCTGCTCACAAGTCAATTATTCTGTCACAGAAGGAATTATTTGATAGGATTTCTCTCATATGGTATTTCCCCTTTTCTCTGAAATTGTGTATGGAAAAGAGAGAACTCTGGAATTGAAGAAGAGGTATAGGAACTATTTTCCCTCAGAACAAACATTAAAAACAACTAAAATGCATATTTCAATTTGTGAAGACCTTCAGGATAATTAAAACCATGAAGATAACAGCAAGAACTCAGAACCAGTTCTGAACTTTCAGATTTTGTTCAGAGATATCTCACAGTGATGCTTGCATGTCTGAAAGCATATTATTAAAGAAAATGTTTGAAAAAAAATGGACAGCCCTACTTTATGAAAAGAAATCTCTGTACTTTAGGAGGAGTCATGGAGTCAGGCTAAATTCAAATGTAACTCTACACATTTGTCTTCTTCCAGTCTACTGCATCTACTGCCTTCTGTGGTTAGTAGTTAAAGCTCACTCTTTACTATGACATGCTTCAGTCATATGTACACACACTCCTTTATATCTGCCCAGCTTTTAGATCTTTGTTGCTGTGACTGTAGTTCCTACTTGCTAATTTCACTGTCCCACATCTGTCCAGAAGTAAAGCCCCAATCACTAGTTCAATATATTGGCGCCCTACGAGTCCTCCTCATCTTAACATGGACCAGTTTATGGCTATCTTACACGTCATATAGGTCAAGGGAACGTCCAGTTGTCCTTATCCAATTGTATTTCCTTTAACAGAAATGCTTACTTCTTCCAGATACACTCCTCCCATCTAGATTAAGACCCTGGATTAAAAGGCAATAAAAACTGGCCTTTATTTTTCTATAGACTTAGGTGAATTCTGGATCAGTCTGTTGGTGAA